AATCTGGGCACATCTGAGGTAAACATGGTACAGTGACCTATGTGGAGAAATGCATGGACTACTGGCCATGACAGAGGTATAGAAGTTTATGTCTTTTAAAAAATTTCCTGCATTTCATTATACACATATTAACAGGAATGGTGCTATGGAAAAATATTTAATGATTTGAAGAAATGTATACGGAAGTTTAGCAAATGCTTGCAGTGTTTATGGGTGATTTTAAACTTTGCTCACCTGGCCAGGAGGGGTGCATGACTATGATCCTAGCACTTAAGAGGCTGAGGCAGGAGGATCACCCCAATTTGAGGCCAGCAAGATCCTGTCTGGAAAACAAAAACCAAATAAATCCCAAATTACCCACTTTGCTTATCTGTAAAATCTAGATCGTCTGCAGCTCAGACTGGTCTTCTGACATAAAGAGGAAACGCTGGCTCTTACCACTTTCCTCAGCACAGCCTTGGGCCTCTGCAGTCTGGTGTTCATTGCTCCCTCCACAGTCACAGGCTGAGATGTGACTCGGGCTCACACAGGGCAGCAGTACAGCGACCTGAAGAGCTGCGTGTCGTCACTGTGGATGTGCAGCTGATTCTGACCACAAGGGACAGATGTCATGCTAACAATTTCCCAAGTAACAGGCCGTACTGACTTTCCTGCTGCTGCTTTCTCGCCAACCTGTAATACTCTTGAGTCAGAGAGGGAAAGTGGAAGATCTTAAAGGGCAAGGGCCCAGTGGACACAGTGGCACACGCCTGAATCCCAGCTACTTGGGCTGAGGCCAGCAGATCCCAGTTTCCAGCTTGACCACACAGTGTGACCCCATCTCAATAAAGTGACAAAGCTGGGGCGTAGCTCAGTGGCGTAATGCTTGTCCATCATGTGGGAAGCCCGGGTTCCATCCTCAGTACTGAGGGGATTAAAAAGCCAGAAAAGGACATCCATGTTTTGAACCAAGCTCAACATAAGTGCCAGGTGCAAGTTCCAAAGAGCTGAGCACAAAGTTGTAAGAAAATATTATGTGGGCCAGGCATGCTGCTGCCTGCCTATAATCCCAGCACTTGGGAGGCTGAGGCAAGAGGACCGCTTGGAGTCAGAGGCCAGCTTGGACCACACAGTGAGTTCAAGGCCAACTTAAACTACAGAGCAAGACCCTGTTTCAAAAACACAAAAAACACCATGTGAAGCAGAGCTGTCGTAAGATAAAGCACACAAACCAAGGGTCTATTTAATAAAAATATTTAATGCTGCCAAAAAGTATAAAAATACAGTACGAATGGCAGTACAATACAAAGTAGTCTCTCCTCGCTTATTTTTTAACATCTTTTTGTACGTCACACACGCATCAAAAAATGCGTAACAATGCAGCAAAGTCAAGGTTCTGCAAGTCTTCTGCTGGTGGACGCTCCTCGTCCCTGATGTGAAGTTTACTCTGTAAACAGACAACCGTGAGGCAAGCGAGGGCTAGCAAGCCTCACTTCAGCTCCGGAGTGGGCTTCGATCTTGCTCTGCACATCAATGTTCAAAATTTATAGCTGCAGAGTATTCGCAAGTCATGAATGTTTAGGTGTCTGTCAATCTTGGCCTAAAACATAAAATAAGAAGTCATCTATTCAATCTGCAGTTACCAAACACAGACTACACAGATCAGATAGGGCAGGACTAAGGTGCACTGAGCAGGCGGCCTGAGCTGCTGCCTGGTATAGGGACTGTGCCCATGGGCCTGACTCTTGAATGCTGGTGAGGACAGGTCGTTATTTGCTTCTCCAAGAACTGCTGCTAAATGGATTTTTTAGGTCATCCTACTTGGCACAAGAAGTGACCTTTATGTAAGATACCGAAAGACACATGGGTATAGAAACAATGTGGCCAGAAGAACTCAGACTACACGGCATGTGCCAGACCTACCATGCTCGGGCCCTCCACTGTGTGGATCTGCTAAAAACAGTGCCATGGTGGCTGCTGACACCCAGGTGCCATGGGTCTGTGTGACAGGCTGCCAGCAGCTGTGCTCTGTCCTGGAGGACAGGACTACCAAGTTCGGCCACAGAACAGAGGCCACCAGGAGAAGACAGATGGACAGTAATACACAGATTGTATTTTAATGACACAAAGTAAAACTATGAGCTAAAACAAGCAACAGAGAGGGAATGACTACTATAAGGGGCAGGAAAGTGTCTGTCATTCTGCAGGAGGGCAATGCTATTTCCATTCCTCTACACACACACACAAACACCCCCCAGGACTGAACACATGTCAGTACTGTATCTCCCCATGCATAACCAGGAAATATAAGCCATTCATACACTTTCGCCCAAAATAGGGGCCGGGGATTTAGCTCAGCGGTTAGGTGGCCTGCCTTGCAAGCGCAAGGACCCAGAGTTCAATCCCCGGTACCAAGAAAAAAAAAACCCAATTTAGCCCCAAAAATCAAAAGTCCTGTTGCCAACAGCTCCCCACACTGACAGGCTTCCTCCTTCCCACATGCATGAGCCCTCTGCACACCGGGTAAGCTCCCCAGTGCTGGTGACAAGCGCCCCATCACTAGGAAAGTGACTGCATGTGCAGCCCTTGAGGTGGGGGACCGTCACAGGACCTCAGGGCCCTGGCAGGAGCCGTGCTTAGTGGCTCCAATGCCACAACAGGCGTGCATGTGCGTGTCCTAGATAGCCAGGGAATGACTGCCTCAGTGGACAGAGAGACCATGGTTCGGCTCCGAATATAAGATACTCCGATGGCCCCAGACGTCTCTGTGGCAATTCAAACTATTTCACGGTTTTTGGGTTTTTTTGTTTGTTTGTTTGTTCTACTTAACAAATAAAGAGGTGACTTTGGATTATAACAGGTAACTAACTGGTTGTCTATTATTCTTCCACTTAAATATTTAGCTTTGAAATTCCAGTCACCGTAACAACAGAAAAGCAGGTGGCTTGGCGTCTGTCATTCTGGGGCCTGGGCTCCCATTTCAGCTGTCACACTTCCTCTGTGCTTTCAGGCTGTGCTCTTGTTTGAAGACAGGGACAGTGCTGGCCCCCAGCAGGTGTCCTGCACACCGCTTTGGACCATGCACTTGGACTGGCTGGTCCAGCGCACATCCCTGTTCTTCCCGGCTGGTTGCTAAAGAGGTCTTGCTGAGATCAAGATACTTAACTCCGAGTGATTTTTTTTTTTTTTAGTTCCCTTGTTATGTTTTGGTAAATGTTATTTTGAAGGGTTAAGAAAATAAGACGAAATCACTCAGAGGGCTGACTGTTTCAGAAAATTTACACAGACTGAGAAAGCATACGGACTGCATTTCAGAGCATTTTGTGGTATTCACTTATATTGACTGCTTCTATTTTACTTAAGGTGAAGTGGGTCCACACACACTGGATGGCAGGAGTGGCGTGGGCTCTCACTGGAGCAGGTGGAGCCTGTGGAGCCATCCCCACTAGGGGAAGTGCGCGAGGCGCCCGAATTCTGTGCCACAGGCGCCCAGGGGCTCAGAAAGTCCTCCTGAATGAGGCTAAACCCAATCACCCCACAGGGACAATCCCTACCTTACTGCCCACTTACTCTACTCCCTCTCCTGAATTTACCAGATTCAAAATATGTGAGGTTTAAAAAGTTTGTAATTTCAAGTATTATCAGTGTCACATGCCTGAAAAAGTGACAGCAATATGCAGCAAGAAAAAATGGTCTCCAAACAGACAAACAGTTCCCACACAGCCACCGGCTTGCCTGGCACAGAGCGGGTTGGGAGAGGCTTCACCCACGGAGGAGCACACACCGAAGCCACTCCCTGACCCTCCAGGAGGAGGACATGGCCACCGGGCCCACAGGTGGCCGAGCAGGCCAAGGCGGGGCCTCTCCCCAAGGCAGATGCTGGCCACACCGGCCCCCAGGTGTGAGGCAAAGGGATGAAATCACCCCAACCACAGAACAGGCCAGCGCCACAGCAAGCCATCTAGGCAATAACCAAGGGAAAACTGAAATCCTGAGAAGAAATACTGGAGGAAAAATACTAATTTCTACTGTTTAATTTTATTTATCAGACTCTATGCCCTTACCACCTAAAGTTAAAACCGAAAAAATCCTGAAAAGTGAGAATTCCCCAGCTGCTGTGTGAGAGAATGCAGAAGAGAACAGACGTCTCTGCAAAGCTCTGAGCTCTGAGCTGAGGGGGCACAAGGCTGTCAGACAAGGGGGGCCTGGGTTGCTTGGTGCAAGGGCAAGAGAGCGGACAGCCCGTGCACACCTTGCGGGGGCAGCATACACTGAGTGCGAGGTTGCGCATCATGATGGAAATGCACAGGCCGCACACTGCATCTGGCTTCAGACATGCAAGATCTGAACCTTTAAGATCTGAACCTGAAGGGGAAAACCAAGGAGACTGGGCTGTTGCTGCTTCTGACCAACAACCAGGCAGGCAAATTCAGAAATGCAGGCACAATAGTCAATACAACATTCTCCAGACCATCAGCTTCCAGTCTAATTATACAGAATGTAGTCAGGGAAGCTTTTCTAAGAGGGAAATGAGCAGCAGCCTTTGAGAATTATTTAATTCTACAATGCACGACACAGATTCTGCAATGATGGCACCAGAAAGGAGCAGAAATGCCGGCTCTCGCTGTGACCAGATGACCCCCTCAGCAAGCCGTGGCACACGGCAACCTCTGCTGTGTGTGCAGCCAGTGAACAGCGAGGTCTGGGCCGAGCTCCACAGGACTCCTTCCCAATTCCCCCTCCTGCCGCAAAGACAAAGCGCAGCTTACAGGAGGGAGCGGCAGCAGGGCCGGGCTCTCACCACCACCCCGCAGCCACAGAGCTGTCCCTGTTAGGGACAGTACTTGCTCAGGTTTGTTCTCTGCCCTGCTGTTCATCCCTCAGTACAAACACGAATACAGGTCTTTATGTTGTTCGCAAGTTCTCTGTGCACTTTTATAAGACTCTTTAAGAATACAGAAAATGGGTATTATTTTCATTTTACATGTGGAGAAATTAAACACAGAGAATTGTTTTGATCCTTATTTACGTGGAAGCACCAGGAGAAATCAGTAGCAGGCGAAGCCAAAACAGCTGATCTAGACGGGCGCTGTGAGCCAATGTGGCCCTGTTCCGCTGAGGGAACAGGTCAGAGACGCTCCCAGGGATGATAAACCCACTGCTGTGCCCCTCGCTGGGTCTCGCAGTGCTCACTTGACGCAGGGCCAGGGGAGGATGGCCGTGGGCACTGCAACCCTCTGCCATGTGTTTTTCCTAACTCATACCTGGTGCCCACGAAAAAGACCCGCAGCAGCAAAACCTGACACACTGAAAGCTCCTGTAACATCATCCTCGGAAGCAACGGCAGGGTATGCAACCACACACCGCCCTGAGGGCCAGAGAGCACAGCAGAAATGCGAAGCCCAAATGCGGCATCCCAGAGGGAGCTGGGCACACCTTACTGGCATCGGCTTCCTGGGAGAAGCCTCTACCTTTTTGTTCAAAGCATGGCTCTTCAGTTGGAAATTTAGTAAGATCTGCCTGTTTGAGTTGCAGTCACACACAAAGATAAACCAAGGTAAACTGGAAAGAAGGATTTCACACCAGCAATGCCCTGCATACAGGCTAACGGGGGCACACACGGGCTGCCACCTGCACCGCGCTCACACCTCCCCGCAGTCGCTAACCCAAGCGGCTGCTCAATCACTCCAGTGTCCACACCAATGGTTTTTTCCAAACTGCCTCTGAACGGGAGCACTCTCCCTTTCCATAGCTAAGCCTTATCAGAATCCTGCATGGTAAGAGACAGCAGAGACGCCACGGTAAAATCAAGGCTGGCTAGGATCCTCCTGCCACCCTCCTGGAAAGTGCTGAAATAACTCCTGGCAATCAAGTTTATGTCAACTATTTAAGTACCACTGTAAGGAGTGCTGAAATCTAAAGAAAGGTAGCAGTCAAATGAGCAGTTAAATTCATGAGGCAAAAGGAAAACCTCTAAATTGGTAAGTGAATTACCTCCCTTGTAGCTTTGTAGTTTGTGACACTTCTTGACCTTGCTAGTTCTCTCATTAGATCTGCGAAAGATGTGGTCATCTGGTTAAGCGTTTTAAGCAGATGCAACTATGAACCCAAGAAACTGTATTCCTATTACTGTTGGTCAAACTAAAACTGTTTCTTTCCTTAAGCATATGACCACAAGGGTGTGAAATAACTACAGGAAACTGTCTTGTACACTGTACATCCGTATTCCTACACGCATATGACAGGGATGCACATTATTCCCCTTCGTACGGACAGCGTAAATAAAGCACTCTGCTAATAAATAAATTCACAAGACAATATGCTTAATACTCATCAAGAAGTTAAAGGGACAATGTAAAGTTCGCACATCATCAAACTATTTATTGAAGTAGAAAGAACTGGAAACTTTTCACTTCAAAGCTTCAGTCTGGTGAATTGACATCACAGATCATAAAATGCTGCTTTTTTTCCCCCTAAGTCATGATTTACCCTGGTTATAAATTAGGGTAATTACATTAAAACTCTCCAAAAGTGAACAGCATTAGTCATGTGCTTTACAGAAACCAATTTCTTTACAAAGTCTTCACAGACTGTTATTACCTAACTAGCCCAGCAGAGACAATTTCCCTTCGAAGATATTTTTAGGAAAATTTTGTTTCTTTTAAAAATAGGGAAAACTGTGAAACATACAGGAAACCCAAATATGTAGTAGAAACTGCTTATTCAGAGGTATAACTGCTTGTACCAAACTTCTCTAGGAAAAGGGAAAATGTATCCATTTTAAGGGAGTCAACATACAATTTATTTTCTTATGGTAACAGATTTTCAAATGGAGCTTTCAAAAAGTACATTTAACTACAAAAGTAAGATTAAATAGGTACTTATAAAATATATTCACCCTGAAATGGTTGTGTATATAAAATATTGATGCCCATGTCAACAGTACATTATACATTACACACATTATTTAAAGGTCATTTTCTTTCCATTAATAACATAGTTAAAACCACAATATTTATTGCTTATATCAAATGCAGGTTAAGATCCAGACAGCCTTCAAAAACAAACCCTTGCGATAAAGGATTTTTCAGTCTCGGTCAGGTGAAGTATCACGCTGGACATGTGTGAACACAGCTGCGAGGTGTACCAGTTTTTAACAAACACGAATGTCTTTATTTGAGACAGCGATTTACAGTTTGGCTTTCAGAGGAACCTGCGGTGGCGAGTCCTGAGGTGTTGGGCTGTCTGGTGAGGTTGCAGACCGCACCACTTGGGTTTGGGGGGTCAGCGCCTGCTAACAGAACCCCTGTGATCAGCAGTACAGCCGGCTGCCAGGGCGGAAGCGTGCGGGCAGCGGGCAGCGTGGCTTACTTACAGGACATGCTGCTGAAAGAACAGTGTCCAGCTAACCACAGCGCCAACCAAAACGACCGACATAACCCCGATCTTAGTGAGAATAGGTTGCCAATATAACCACCTTTTTCTTTTTCGTTCAGTCTCATTTAGCCTCTGTTTCATCTGCTGCACCTTCTGCGCCGTGGCGGCCTTCCTGTCCTCTCGAATGCGTTTCCGCACAACACTGAGAACAGAGAAAAGCGAATGAAAAGAAGTGCGCTGAGGGCAGGGCCTTGTCCCCTGGCAAGGCCAGGCCACGCCGCCCAAACGGTTCCCATCCCCATACTACGTGACAGTGGAGGCCTCAGTGCCACCTTCAGGGTACACTGCATGTGCACAGCTTACACGGAAATGCACACACACAGACAAAACGATGCTAGAACACTCATATCTACTACTTATACTACCAGAGTTCCTATTTTTCTGTCCTATTTTCCTCTTTACAGAACGCTTTGATCACTTAATAAACAGATTATTGGAGTTGGAATACGGGACTGGACCTTTAATTTGAGAGACTGCTTTGCAGAATATTTGACAATGAAAACGAAGAGAAGAAACCACAGTGCTGATTTCTTTGAAAGCAGAGATTCAATGGGTAAGATGTTTAATTCACGGGATCTCTAATGGGATGCTATCAGTATTAAAGTGTATTGGGTCTGAGCAGCAAGGAGGAACAGTTTACTTCAGCTGCCCCTCCTGCTCTCCCCCAGCCTGCTCTACTGACTGAGCCTCTTTCCTTGTCTTCTGCTTTCACACATGCCCCAATCTGTCTACCTCGGAGGGAAGACAGACAAGGGAAAACCGCGCCTGTGAGTCGGAAGCTGCTGTGCGTGCCGCGCTCCCCCACTGCCTCGCTCGTCCTCAGCAGGCAAAGCTTGGACTAACAGGAGAGGGGAGCGCGCTGGGGCTGCTCAAAGGCTAGCAGTGTCTTTAAAACAAAAACTCTGCCCTCAACACACCAAGGACCCTGCATCAGCTGTCAGCTTTTTCTTCTTGGTTCTGCAACAGCCAAAAGGCATTTAAAAACCCAACACCAGGAATATGGAACTCTTACTGCTGAAAGGGATAATTTAAAATACTGTTCCTTCTGGGCCGGGGATTTAGCTCAGTGGTTCTGCACCTGCCTTGCAAACGCAAGGTCCTGATTTCGATCCCTGGTACCAAAATAAATAAAATAAATAAACATTGTTTCTTCCTTACTGAAAAATATACTTAAGGTGAAAAAAGGAAAAATAACCACGTTAACGCTGCATTTGCAATCTAAAACTACTGAAGCCACAAATGAAGAGAAACACTGTTTACCATATTAAATTATTCAATACAGAAAGACATACATGGAGACGCTATCTTTCTGGTGCCAAGCTGGCACCCACGCCCCTAAGCACAGACTCTATCCCGAGCTGCACCAGCCCTGCGGACAGGTGCTACACCAGAACAGCACAGAAGGGGCGCTGTAGTGTGAGGGAGACCTCAAATATCTGCACAGCACCCCACCTCCCAAGACCACAGTCTAACCAATATGACTAACGTAAACTCACAGTAAAAAGGTGTATGTCACAAAATAAGAGTTATTCAAGAACACACAAGAGCAAGAAAAGGTCTCATTCACTCTGCTCAGAATCTGACACCAGCTTCCAAATGTGTGTGCGAGATACTTAAGAGCCCTGGACATGCATTTTTTTTTAGCTTAAAAAACAAATTCGGGGGGGGGGTTACCAGGGATCAAACTCGGGCCCTTGTACTTGCAAGGCAGGCGGTGGAACCGCTGAGCTAAATCCCCGGCCCAACTTAAAATTTTTAAATGGTTCACACATTCATTAAGAATTCAAAAATCAAAAAGCATAAAAGATTTTATGCAATTCTGGGGAAAAATACTTTTTCTTCCTTCAATAATGGAATTATGTGTACTATTTTACAATTTCATTACTAACAGCATGCTGTCTATTACAGACAGTATTTGTAGAAACGACCGGTGTGCATACCATTGTGTTCTGTAGCATGCTATTTAGTATCTTAACACCTCCTTATATTAACTTCTGCATTCAAGTAGTATTGTTTCCTCAACTGGCTTCTAAGTACCCCCACCCCAGTACGGGGAACTGAACCCTAAGGCCTTTGCAATGAGCTACACCCCCAGACTTATTTTGACTCCGGCTCTTACTAAGTTACCTAGGCTGGCCTTGAATTTGTGATCCTACTGCCTCAGCCTCCCAAGTGGCTGGAATTACAGGAATGCACAACCATGCTGGGCAGTATTGGCTTTTTAATGGGACTGAAAGCTTTTTGAGAGTAACCATGTCATTATCTACTATGCAAAAACTCCAGGGTGTGAAGGAACAGAGGGTCCACATGCCACAGCCCATCTTCGCACAGGGACCATAGTCGCTCACCTCTCGCTGCCCTCCTCCATGGTGTCCTGAGTCCTGGAGGACAGTGCTGTACACCGCTCAGGGAGCAGCTTCTCTTCCTCAGGACCTATTCTGTTCCCGTTGTACTTCTCAGTCATGCCTCTGTTCGGCGAATGATCCAAAGCAGGAGATAAATCTTCCTTAGAAAGCTCTTTCCACCGTTTCTAGGTAGGGAAGAGAAGCCAGAAACAAATGCAAGCACTAAACATTAAATAAAATGGACTTATGAATTAAAAGTATTCAAGGGCATGGACAAGGGGGAAAAATGAGAACCAAGACCTGTCATGCAAAGGTATAAGATCCCAATAATGAACGTGACTGTACTGTATACCTTAAATGTACCAACAAACTCAATTAATAAATAAAATAGAAGTATTCAATGGAAGAAAACGCTGTGACAGTGATAAATAAGTGAAAAGAAAGCATTTACCAACCACAACACTATTAAGTGTGACTACCTTAGGCTTAAGCTTTTAAAAAACAGCACTTAATATTTATGTACATCAGTATGTAGCTGAGCTGAATACAACCCATCTTAATAAAATCTAGTGGGCCCACCTATCCAAGACAAACTGCACTCGCTAAAATATTAGTTACAGTAAGAAACTTTAGCCAAAGTTAGATCATTTGGACTCTTGATGCATCCCTAACGCACAGATAAGGGGAGCTGACACAGTGAGTGAGAAGCCTGCGTGTGCTTCGGCACCACCCAGTCTCAGCAAGAACCAAGGGAATCCCAAGTAGGACTTCAGGGTCATCAGAGAGCAGCTCCCACCAACCAGCCACGCGGGGGCCAGAGACAGAACAAAGACGACTCAGAACAGGAGGGGAAATTTCCATTTCCTCCTCTCTGGGCAACTCTGCAGACTGCTGTGGACCTGACGAGGTAGCCTGTGAAACACCCAGTGTCAGGTCAGCAAGTGTTAAGTTTCCTGTGTCTTCAGGCCACAGTTTTTGGGCCAAGGTCAGAGGAGGAAGTGCAAAGTTCCCTTGAGTCCTGGGAAATGGACAGCGGCAACTGTCCTGGCCAGAAAAGGAACAGCCCAGTCCTGGACTACAGCCTCCCAGGGCCATCAAGGGTTAGGAACACAACTACTATCTATTCCAGCTGCAGTGGCAGCAAGGGTTACTGGCTTCCACTGCCACAGACTCAGGCACTGGCCTGAAATGAGTGGGGAGATGGGCTGACTCCTGAGATCCTTGCACAGAAGCCAGGAGGGAATGCTCCTGGGTCAGGAATTTAGCTCAGTGGTTCCACCACCTGCCTTGCAAGTGCAAAGACCCAAGGGAAGAGGGGGAGGGGAGGGGAGGAGAGGGGAGGAGAGAGAATTCTCCTTGTACTGCCCAGAAAGAGAGAGAGAGAGAGAGAGAGACAGAGAGAGAGAGAGAGACAGAGAGAGAGAGACAGAGAGACAGAGAGACAGGCAGACAGACAGAGACAGAGAGAATGAATTCTCCTTGTACTGCCCGGAGAGGTAGGGAGGGAGGGAGGGAGGAAGGAAGGAAGGAAGGAAGGAAGGAAGGAAGGAAAGAAAGAAATCCTCCTTGTACTGCCCAGACAGACAGCATCACAGCATCTACTTCCGGGAACCTGCGGACACTCACTCCCTGGAGTCACTTCTGTGTAAAATGGAACCCTTAACCCTTGTATATTTAGATTTTCAAAATCCCTGAAAAATCCACTCAGACCTAGACAAAATTGTTCCTCACTAGTCTCATTATTATCATGCAACAGAGAAACTAAAAAGAAAAGGCATTTTGCCACACTCCACCTTTCCCAGAAACAGCTGCATTACTCAGCTGCATAATTCATGTCTTTTGCTTTATGACAGCTGACTTACCGATGTGACAACCTACTGCTGAATCTGGAAGGCAGGGAGCCACAGCTCGGCTGGAGAGGAGGCGACCTCTGGGACAGGAGCCTCGGGAGGGGCGAGAGGCAGAGGTGCCACAGAGCAATCCAGAGAGGCCTGTACTCAAGCCGCTCCATAAGAACACGGTGTCGCCAACTGGGACAAGACCGGAGGGTGGCTTCTAAGCAGAGGGTCTCCCACTTTTGGTATCAGTTTTCTTTCCTCCCTTGTTTGACATTTTTGCTGCTTGCTCTGAACAGCTTCGATGACAGTGAAGAAGATGCTCATTGAGCACCTACTACAGCCCACCCTGGGCTCTGACGCTGGGCACCATCCCAGCAGCCTGAGGAGGCGGGCACCGCCTTCACCTCTTTTGCAGAGGAGGGCGAATGAAGCCCCAAATTTTAACTGCACCCTGGGAGACCACCCTGCGGTCCTCACGACAGGCTGTGACTCAGAGATCTCTCCAGTCTCAGCCACTGGACAGTGCTCACGTCACACTGTCTCCAGGCTGAAGTCTCCAGTCCTCACTAAGTCTCAGTCACAGCTATGTGGCCTCACTCTTGCACAACACTCAACAATGTCAATAAACGAGGCAATGCCAAAGCCCACATCTTACTGGGCCACTTCCAGATTACAATACAAATTCAGGATCTGTCAGCAAAAAAAGCACTCAGCAAAGGAGTGGAGCAGACAATGCTTGTGAATTAAAGACAAAACACCAGCAATGTCATCTTGCCCATCTCTGTGCAGCAAGCCTGTTCACAACGGCCCTCCCTGGGGAAGCCCAAGCAAGCGGGTATCCCAGGTCACCTGCCCCTGCCCGCCCCTGCAAGCGACACCACGTTCATTGCAAAGCACAGGGACGCTGCGTCAGCCGCACCCACACGCTTGCACGCGTCTCCCCCACACTGTTGGAGGGATACTCACGCCCATCCATGTCACCCAGAACAGCAGCTCAGGGGTTGATGTGATGCAGCTAAACTGGAATTTTTTTTTTTTTTTTTTTTTTTTTTTTTTTTTTTTTTTTTTGTACTGGGGATGGAACTCAGGACCTTGTGCTTGTAAGGCAGGCAGCGGAACCACTGAGCTAAATCCCTGGCTAAACTGGAATTTTAAAGTACTGTACATCATTTACATGTACGCATATCCAACTGCCAGCTAGCAAGCTCACCACATCAGCTGTGAACTACAAAACTAGATGATGGCTCTGGAGGCTCAAAATCATGCCTGACATTGTGCCCAGAGACAACTAGAAATTATCTACATTTATCTAGGCAGGTCAAGGTCACCAGAGTTTTCTGTAAATGAGTGTGTACTATGCAGTCACTCATGATTTAGATGTGATGCACAGTAACAGCTCTCCTTTGTCTCAAAGGTCCCAAATCATCTATAGCCACACATGCAGGTATCTTCACAAAAAAACCAACAACACCGCCATGCACACACACACACACACACAAATGCGAGAGAGGCCATATTAATTTCAGACAGAGTAGACATCAGAGAAAGAAGACAAGGACAAAGGAGTCAGTTCTATGAAAGACACAGAAGTCCTCACAGCAGAGCATCAACTATGAGATGCAAAAAACCCTGCAAGAACTCCAAGGAAAAGCAGATGTGTGTGTGAGCTGGAGACTTCAGCACTCCTTCCCCAGAAATGGGCAGACCCAGCAGGACGGTGGTCAGGAAGGACAGAGGAACCAATGTAATCACTGTGTAAGAGACACCTCTGGACACTTCACCCACTGAAGCAGAACAGACAACTGTCTCCAGCTTACAGGAAACATCCAGCAAGACAGGACCACATCTGGCCATAAACACCTCAACAAATGTAAAAGCACAGAAATCATAACAATAACTGGAATTAAACCAGGAAAACAAGACCAATCCCCAAGTAAACAGAAATTAAAACAATATACTTCGAAATAACACAGGGACCAAAGAACAGAACTCAAGATAAACTAAAAGAGATTTTGAGCTGAGACAGGAGGATCACAAACTCAAGGGCAGCCTGGATTACGGAGCAAGACCTTGCCTCAAAGCAAAGCAAAGGAAAAGAAATTGAAGCTAAATGAAAACAAAAACATGTCAAAATTGGGATGCATCAAAAAGCAAGGATTAGTGGAAAGTTTATAGAAAAGAAGATCCAAAATCAGTATGCTCAGTGTCCACTTTAGGAAACTAGTAATAAACAAAATCCAAACTACGTAGAAGAAAGAAAATAGAACTACACCAGAAATCAGTGAAATGGAAAACAGGCTACAGACAGGAAAACTAAGAGCTACTTCTTTGAAAAACATTAATAAAATCAATGTGCCACTAGCCAGAGGACACAAATGACCAGTACCCCAAATGGAGGAGAGGACATCACTATGGTCCCCAGGGCAATGAACAGACAGAACAGAAATGCTGAACAACCCTACACTCACAATGTGGTAACACAGATGAAATGCATCAGTTCTTTGAAAGACATAATTTGTTAAAACTATTTTTAGTTTTGCTAAAATTAATTTGCCTGTATTTTGAAAAACTGCAGCAATAATTAATAACACACCTAAGTAAAAAGCACCAGATCCACATCAGTTCACTGGTGAATTCTGCCCAACATGTAAGAAAAAACTATGCAGCGATTCTCTACCACCTCTTTCAGAGGACAGAGATAAAGGAACGTGTCCCAAATCACTGCAAGGCCAGCGTCACCCTCCAACGCAAGCCAGAGCCATCACGGCCACACAGGAAAGAAGCTTCCTTCTCTTACAATTACTACTATCTCCAAAAAAGGCAGAGACAAAGAAAAGGAGGAAGATGTGTGGAGGGAAAAAAGCATCTCATAAACTGGGTATATATTCTTGTATGTCGGATAAAGTAGCACTGTGGCTACATTTCTATTCATTATGTTTTTGGGTTCACATTAACCAAGTAACTTTAAAACTTCGTAATACATATCAAAGTTTTATGACTTAGGATTTTAAAGAACTTTTTATTTTGGTACTGGGGATTGAACTCGGGTCCTTGTGCTTGCAAGGCAGGCCACCGAATCGCTGAGCTAAATCCCCGGCCCTTAGAACTTCTTATAATTTGTTCAGTACTAAGGTTCAAGCACAGTACTATCCAATGAAATATAGCATGAGCCACATTTTCCAACAGCCATGAGGAAGATGAATTTTAATAATGTTTTACTTAACTCCAAGTATTAAAAATATTACCACTTGAATATACAATCATTGAGATACTTTACACTTTCCCTCTGTATCAAGTCTTCCAAATATGTGTTTCAAATTTAAGCACATGTTAAGTCAAACTAGGCAACTCCCAGAGCTCAGTTCAGTAGCACAGCAGAGTGCTAGGAGAAAGCAGAGACTCGTCTTCAAAGCAAGTGCACCATGGCACACCTGTGTTGTTAGGAAGAAAAAAAAAGTCACATTTATGAAAATAAACAGATGCACGCATGTGAACACAGACTCCTGGAGAACATACACCGCAACTGCATATGGGGTATATGAGGTAGGGCCCGTGGAGAGTAAGCATGAGGGTGCCTCTCTCTCTCATTAATGCCAGCAGTGGCCCCCAACAGGGGCTCGAGGAAGCCCCCAAGGCTCCCGAGAAGAACAAGACCTCCAGACACTGAATCTCTACCACCAGAACTTGTTCTTAAATCAAGTACTGTCGAAGAGTTTTTTTTTGTTTTTTTGAGACAGGGTCTTCCTATCCAGTTCAGGCTGGCCTTGACCTTGTGGTGATCTTTCTGTCTCAGCCTCCTGAGTGCTTGGGTTATAGGTGTGAATCACTGCACCCAGCAGTTGAAGATATTTTCGTCAGAGCAGCAGCATGTGCGGCTCAAATAGTGGGTGTGGGAACTAAGAGGACTTTTGCCTTACAGATGACACACTTCCAAAACTGAATTTTCTCATCTGATCATCATTCTCACAACAAAAACAATTCCACAGCTCCATATATATCACTGTAGTCTTGTTAAGACCACTTGTGTAAAAATAAATGCCTTGGGACATACACAACCTCGTCTGATCCTGAGTAACAGAAACATGCAGACATTTCTGACATCTTATCTGGAACCAACACAGAGAATGCATTAAATTCAGTCTGACAACTACACAACAGATAAACTACATTCTCCTGAGACTCATTTACCTAATTACAGCTGGGGAACACAGGACAGGTGGCAGCCTGCTATGAAGGGTGTGGGAAAAGCTTGATTTAATGATTTTACTTTCTTTTAAAATTCCAATTGGCCGGGGGTTACCGGGGATCAAGCTTGCAACCTTGCAGAACCACTGAGCTAAATCCACAGCCCTAAATTCCAGATTCAACTTGGTTAAAGCATCCAAAGATAAGGAAGAGAAATTTTCCTAACCAAACACTTGAGATAATTTTTATTTCACCTAAGTCACTGCTCACTGTCAGTGACCGGAGCCAGCTTCATGTTCCCAGCCTGGCTTTTGACACAGGACTATTGCAGGGGTTTTAATTTCTGCATATGGAGCATTCTGCACTGAAAACTAACATTTCTCCAGTAAAATTTTTCTTTAGATATCGGGAAATGGGAAGAAAATGTTCAAATGGGAATGGGAACAAGGAAGGAGGGAAGAAAGGAAGGAAGGGACAAGAAACAAAAGTGAAAACAAAAGGAAAAACTGGAAACAAAGCTTTTGTACATAAGCAGGGGAGGGGGAAATGGGATAAAGTAAAATTAAATTTGGCTAAGGATTTAGCTCAGTGGCACTGCGCCTGCCTTGCAAGTTCAAGATCCTGAATTCGATTCCTAGTACACATAAATAAACGTATATTTTAAGAATTCTTGTTTAATGTTTAACAACCAGGAGAAAATCCTGTAAATAAAATTTTTAAAAAGTTAGATACTAATACATGAATCACTTGAGTGTATTTTTAGTATGTCTTTGCAATCTATACAGCACTCACTCACACAGCCCCTGATGGTCTAAGTTATAGAGGCTATTCAGCATAGCTCTGCATTGGCTAGTAATCACAGAAATTAAAGAACAAGCATGTTCACAGATGAGAAGCACAGTGAAGACCTACTCATATTACTACCACAGAACAAGCTGAGTAGCCCTTATCCAAAAGACACGGGACCAGAAGTCTTTCTGATCTTAAGACTTTATTGGTTGTGTATGCCTGATCCAAAATTCAAACATCTGAAATGCTCTAAAATCCAAAACTTTTGAAGATCTTGTAGGTGCTTTTCAAAAAGTTCTGGATCTTAGATTTTCAGATTCTAGATGCCCAACTTGCATTTACTTATGTCCAATATTAGACAATAAGACCAGAAAGAAAATGGGGGCTGTTGTAAATTCTATTCCTACTGACATTTTGCCTCAGTCAGTAACACAAATTTTTGATGGTATAAATGTACAATAAAAATTTCTTCATGAGAATAAAGCCACCAATCAGAAAAATACAATTTTCACTAGTACTGTACTCATGTTTGTCACAAGTACTGCAGCTATTTAACAGTTAAATATTACATAAACCAAACATTTTATATTCTCACATCAAGTTTTTAATGGGGCAAAAGGTACTTATGTTTTTTGATTTTACTAAGTGCTCAAAACTCCTTTAATGAAAATTGTTTTAAGGCCAGGGATTTAGCTCGAGGTTCTGCCTCACAAGCACAAGGTCCTGAGTTTGATTCCCAGTATGAACGAACGAACAAATGAACAAAAGAAAGAAAATCATTTTAGAGAAATTGGATCCCAAGAGGACTTCAAGGGGTGGAATGCAGAGCCTTGCTCAAGCTAGGAAAGCACTCTACCTTTGAAACACAACCCAGCCCTCCAACTAGGGCTTTAAGTAACACACAGGATTTTCTGAGAGGCTGAGCATACATGAGGAAGTAAGCTCCAATTTCTTCAGACAAGACAGCTGGGTTTACACATAAAGTCAAGCATATTGCTTAAAAGGCACAAGATAAGGCATTGGGAGAGCACAGCTATTAGATGCTAGCTGTATTTAAGTAGTATTTTGTTTCCCAAGAAGTTTACCTGTATATTTGAATCACCCTTTATACATTTTGCTCCTTCTATTATGGCCATGTAAGAGAATCTGAGTTGATCTGGAGTCTGAATAAGTCCCATTCGGTATTTTCGCATATTCAGTAATACTTGTTTAATGTTAATATCATCTCCTTTTTCCATCTGTAAGAAAGGTAAAAAGAAGCCAAGCCTTTCACTGTTAGAGTCCAGGAATCACAAGCAATATGAGATCAGTGCTTGGGCTTTTGCCAAGTGTGTGCTTCTCTGAAAGGATGAGGACGATTCAGCACATATCCCAGCCCACCATCCTTCTCACACCTCAACTGTCCAAACAGCACATGTGTCTCAACAGCACATGGGGTGACTTGATTATCCATCTGATTCATACTCAATCCACACAAACTGTAGTTATTCATGTTGGCCAATAACTGGACAAAGGAAGTATTTGTGACCAATTTTGTACAACAAAAGGGTGAATCCACGATGACTGGTTTCTTAAAAGGTCTTGGCAGAAGTAACCCTTCTTGTCCATTTGCCTTGCTGTTTAGACTATAGGCACAGGGTCTAAACGTACAGTGGCCATCGAATGATGATGTAAAAACAAACCAAAACAGCCCCTAATCCGAGAGAATTTTACCAAGACATTGTACCAGCTCTCAATTACCAAGCTTGTTTTAGAAACCACCCCACAATTGCAAAGGAAAAGAAAGGTTGGTAGGGAGCAGGCTTAAACACATAATCCAGTCTTAATATCTGCATTAACAAAACAAATCAGTTTCTACACATGGCAAAGTTCACTTTTTTGTAATCAACTTTTGGATAAAGCATACTACAGATGATGGGCAGAGTGGCAAAGTAATCAGTAGCTATATTAAGACTCAAAAGTCCCCTATCCCTAGCTTTCATGGGCTGACACCTAAGATGCCCCAGCCAAGACCCCTATGAAGTGTGTGTGCTCACCAGGAAGGGCAGCCTCGTGCTCGCTCACTTGACAATCTACGTTGTGCCCAAGTAGTGCTAGAAAGCGTCGGAATGCGGGGACCAGTGCAGCGAAGCAAGGACACACACAGGGCCTTAAAGTCAACGATACTGCCAATAATGCAGTGAACTGCCCGCTTTACTGACAATCTTAAGGGAAATAAGAAATTAAACTACAGGGAACACTAAGGAAAAGATGACTCAGAAGTCAGGGCAGAGAGTGTTTACTGCTGGGTTTGATTCCATACTAAAGGAGGGATAAAGAAGACAAAAGTTGGAAGGGACATCAGGGAAACCAGAAGACCCCTATGTTTCATGTCCAACAAAGAAAAAAAGGGGGCTGTGGCTCAGAATGGTGAAGAAAGAATGTAGTCCTGGTAGCTCGCATACACAAAAGTCTCAGGGGAACAACAGTACCATACTGACATTTATGGGTATTTAGAAAATACTACTAACCTATGAATCCTCACAGTCAAGGTACTATCACTATGAATATAGTTCTTAACTAAAGAAAAAGAGGTGATGTGTTTGTCTGAGAAGGAAGGAATTCAATTAATATGATATATGAATTAAAATCTGAAAGGGGGAGACAACTATTTGTCTTCTTGGGGATGTCTGCAATTATCTTGGATACATCCCCACCAGTCATAAATAAGATGGAGCTGAAGGGGTAGAAATGAGTTTTAGGTTTTTCCAAAAGAAAGCGTAAGTTTAACCTTTAAAGATCTAGTTCTGGACTATTACATCAGGATTACTTATGAAAGCAGAAAAAAATAAACACAGCAAGACCAGAATGAAGGCGCACAAGCAGCACTCACCAGAACAAGACAGGTGTCCACCAGAGAGAAGGTGCCAGAGCGCCCAATGCCTGCGCTGCAGTGCACGACCGCAGGCCCATGGTCAGCTTCCAAGGAGCCAGATTCTCTCACTTTAAACAAGAAATTGAGAAATGAAGCTGGTGATTCAGGGACTCCAAAATCTGGCCAGGTAGTATAATGAAAGTGAGATATTGTTCTGGCTTCACCACTCTAAAAAGTGAAAATCAAGGGAAGAGAAGTTAGTTCTAATTTATTCCATGAAAAAATCATGTGTTTTGCCTAACAGTTTTAGTCGTATGGGCTGTTTGTACTATGCCTTTTCCATTTTGGTTTTGATAATCACACATACAGATTCGGGAATATGTTCTTTACAGGAATCTGGAATATTTGACAATAATAGTTAATACATATAATACATTACTTTAGAGGCCTGTGTAACACTCTCTGCTTAGAATTCACACAACAATCCTACTAAAGCCCATTTCCAGATGAGAAAACTGAGGCAGATTTAAGGCTGCAGAGTTAGAAGACACAGAACTAGGACAGGAAGCAGCAGTCCAGGACTACATCTGGGGTCTCAACTACTAACTAGTACAATTCATGTGCCAGAATTCTCTCTAGTTACATGCATCACGGTGAGGGATTCTTTGTTCTAAAAATTTCTACCATCATGATTTCACAATCTTTAATATTTTGTGAAGAATCACAAGTTTTGCTGGGCACGGTGGTTCACGCCTCTAATCCCAGTACTGTGGGAGGCTGAGAGAGGAGGACTGCTGTGAGTTCCAGGGCAGTCCTGTCTCAAAAAATCCAGAGAAAAAGAGAATGGCAATTCTATCTTGTAAATATAATCTCTTTATAGGATGTACTTTTAGATACTGCTACACACGCACAAAGGAACAACTCTTACTTTAAAGGAATAATCTGTATGCACCTTTTTAAGTGAAACTGCTCTTCTAATGGAGGCCTTTTCCCAGGGTAGCAATTCCTAATCCCAAAGCTGTTTGTATACCTTTGGTGATATGCCAAGATGGTTCACCAACACGCCAAATGTCTCTGGCCTCTCGGGTCTCTAGGTCTCCTAACTCATGAAAACACCCGCCGTTATCTGCCAACTACCTTCTGCCCCACACAGCAAGTCTCTGGCTCTTGCTCTCCACTTCTGTCAATGAAGCAGTGATATTCTGTACGCCTTCGCAAGTTTTTAGTTTTGCTGCAGGAAGGCAGCAGAGGAGCAATATTTAAAAACCCTGATATGTTTATAGATTACTCCTAAAAAAAATTTCAAAATTAGAAATTAGCTTTCAGGGTTTTTTCTTGGGGGGGGGTACTGGGGATTGAACTAGGGTCCTTGCACTTTCAAGGCAGGCCACCAAACCGCTGAGCTAAATTCCCGGCGCAGCTTTCAGTTTTTAAAAAATAACCTCCTATACTCAGATAGGACACTGAACAATACAGTGCAGATATTTAAAAAAAAAGATTTACACTCAGTAATCTTTTGAATATACAGTTTTAGTAATTCCAAACACACTATGAGCCACATGTTCTCAATACACTGAAGGCATTCAGAAGATACAGAACTTCATTAATGGTGACCATGATTTCTAGATTTCAAAACACTTCCTTTCCTTTTCGGTGCTGGAGATTGAGCCCAGGGCTTTGTGTGTGCTAAGCACATGCTCTACCACTGAGGTACACCCCTAGCACCCCAAGTACTTCCTTCTCAACTTAAAAAAAGTGCCCATCTGCAATACTGATTTTCAGAGTGCACATGTACTAAGTCGCCTAGGCTGGTCTTGAACTTGCCACCTTTCCACCTCAAACTCCCAAGCAGCTGCAATTATGGGCAACTGCCATGCCACCCAGCTTTCCTTTTAAATTCTAAATTAAGTATGCTGAGTGAAAGAAACCATTTTAAGGGCTATGCATGGTATAAGTCCATTAATAAGAGCAGAAACCACTATAGGAGCAGAAACCAGATTATTGGTTGCCAGGGGCCGGAGGTGAGGGATAGAGTTTACTGTATACAAGTGGCACAAAAAACTGCTGTGTGGGGAGATGGGGGAGTAGAGCAATTATTTTAGCTGGGTATCATGGTGGACACCTGTAATACTAGCATCCTGGGAGGCTGATGCAGGAGGGTAGCAAGTTTGAGCCCAGCCTGGCCAACTTAACAAGACTCTTGTCTTCAGAAGTGAAAAAAGGGCTAGGGATGTAGCTCAATGAGAAGACCCTGGGTTGAATTTCAGTACCACACACACACACACACACACACACACAAAATGACTCATTTTTATTACAGGTGTGGTTACACAACTGGATGCATTGTTCAAAGGTGCACACACCAAAAAGAGCCAACCTACTATGGGTAAACAGTAAGTAAAAAAGGACGTTCAATGCCTTCCAAAGCAAGGCTAAACTCAGAGTCCCTTTACATAGCTGTTTGTGGAGAGTTAACACAGTGGGACCCACGTGGGAATGGACTGAAGACACTGATCCTTGATGGATCAGTCTTGTCTTCCATTAAGCAGGGTGCATGATTCTACAAAGCTTCTAACCCCATTTTTTCCCTCACTGATGACTCCCCTGCAGTGGCTGCCAAGTAACACATACAGCACCAATCCACAGGAGACCAGCAGAGCTCCAGGACGTAGCTCCAAGATGCACCACTTCCTGGCTCTTCAATGAGTGGCTGCCCACAACCCACAGCAAATGTGAGCTTTTTCTTTGTTATATAATTTTGGCTCAATGCTAGGATCTCCTCATGTTTTTAAATTCAGGTCACACTGTCCGGGATACTTGAAGCCAGTTCCCAGAACTGCTCATGACTATTTGTGTAATACAGTCTTCCCCACTAACAATTTTTGAGAATCTGCTTTTCTTGCCCTACAGAACCAAACTGAAGGACTTTTCTGAGAGGCTGTGATTAATTTACTTTTTCCGAAACATGCTTTAAAAAACACAGCCCACAAAACCTTGTAACCGAAGAGCTGCAAATGCCTAGGACTCAAAAGTTACAAGCATTCACTGCTCTGGTACAGAGACATGGATTTGCACAACTGGACCCTTTTCCGTGCTGGACGAAGAACGAGAGGGAAGACAGGGGTTGTCAAGATACAGAGTTAAAACAAGATCCACCTTTGTTCCGAACAGTCTCTCTGCTCAGACTGTTTAGGAGAGTCGCTAACCTGTCCTCTCCTGCCCTCCGTCACCAAGGCCTGCGCTGCCCTCTTTCGCGTCTCTCCATTGCTGCTCCTAGGCTCCACCTCACGTGTGTACACACCTGGCTTCATCCACAGTTACAACTGCCCACTGGCCCCATCGGCAGCCCTCCTGCACATGCCTGCCATGTTTCCTTTGTAAAGCTGTAATGTGTGTACCCCATGCTACCCAAAAATGCCAGTGGCTTGCTGTTCCTTTTAATGAAGTAACATTAAAACTGTGATCTCTGAAGGTGGTTGTCAAACTTGCTATACATGAAGGCCAACAAGTTGGGTATAAGGCAACAGGGGCTATGAAGTTTATGGCTATATAAGTATATGTCTTTCCAAAGCCATCCAAGTTCAAATTAATAAACACAAGATTATAAATTTTCTGTTATAAAAAAAAAAAAAAAAAGGGCTGGGGATTTAGCTCAGTGGTTCCAGCGCCTTCCTTGCAAGCACAAGGACCTGAGTTCGATCCCCAGTGCCAAAAAACAAACAAAAAAACTACAGCTGCAAGGGCCCAAGTTCAATCTCCGGTACCCAAAACAAAACAAAACAAAAACACACACATCAAAAAAACAACTATAGCTGTAGGAGTCCAGACCCAACTATTTTCACACATTAGGTATAGACTGAATGTACCAAGGTTATGTTTCTATAAGATTTACTAAGCCCTAGTTTTATAATCTATAAATCAGGTTAGGGCTAAGGATTTAGCTCAGTGGTTCCACCACCTGCCTTGCAAGTGCAAGCACCTGAGTTTGATCCCTGGTACAAAACAAACAAACAAACAAGTTAGGACAGTATTTAGCTTAGCTGCTGTGAAGAATGAAGCAATGAACACATAGTGTGTGATATGTCCCTGCATGTGGTAAATGTGTAACAGACACCAGCTGTTTCTAAAAGAATTATACCTAATTGCCTCTGTTGTAGTCCATGAAAAATTCCAATCAACTGTAAAATCTGCCCCCGCCCCACTTTGTTACCGGGGATGGAACTCGGGTCCTTGTGCTCGTGTGGCAGGCAATGGAACCACTGAGCTAAATCCCCAGCCCAAATCTGCCTCTATTTTTAACCTCTTCACTGACTAGTTCCTTTTTATCCACATTGTGGATTGTACCCCTTAGCCAGATGTCACCTCTGTACCCTTATTGTCACTGCTTCGCTCAGTCCCACATCCACTTTTGCTGGGATCGCTGTATCACCAGTGATAAACATTTGATGGATGTGATTCATCTACAAGATGGCTAGAACTCCCCAGCCTGGGATGGGCAGGACTGGCAAGGCACAGGCTTGCAGTGTAAGCAGAGGGGGCAGCACTATGCAGAGGCTGGGGCCCAGGGAAGTGATCCGTCTGTGACATCATCTCAGTGGGAAGGGCAGTGGCTCAGAGGAGGCAAAGAGGCGGGCCGGGAAGGTGGGGGCGGGGCATGTGTGGTCCTATGTGATGGAGGGGGCCAGGCAGGCAACCACAACTGTGTTCTACGATGGCCATTCAGGTATAATGGCAGAGGAGCACAGAGGCAGCAGGTAAGGATCCCATACAAACGTTGTTATGGAGTCAAAATATACCCAGTCATACAAGTACTGAACAAGTTAGTGAACTGGTAAAACTTAAGTAACTGTAGGCAGTGTGAAGAGACTGAGCCACATCAGAGGTTAGCAGACCTCCATCTGAGTTTGCTCTGTCACCTATCAGGTAATCTACAGGGGAAAAATCCTACATCCTAACATATTTTAAGCTTTTTAAAAAATGAAATATGAAGACAGTACAAGTATTCATTTATCTGCATTGCAGGAAGACTGGATCAAATTTTGTATCTATAGATCTATATATACTCATATATAAATATATGTTTTAAAGTATTTTATAACCTGACAAAATATAAAAACCAATTTTATTATTATTGGAGGTATGATCAATTCCCAATTAGGGCTGTTTCAGAATTGGGGAAGCACATCTATCCCCTTCACCTACATCAGGTTTAATGTCTTTTGTTTTGAGACAGGGTCTCACTGTGTAGTTGAGACTGACCTGGAACTCCCTATGTAGCGTAGGCTGGTCTTGAACTCAGTGATCCTCCTGCCTCAGCCTCCCAAGTGCTGGGATTACAAGCATGAGGCACCACGCCCGGCTAGGTTTAATGTCTTTTATGAGAAGATAAGGTACCTGGGATAAATACCAACAGGAGCCATGAAAAGCTTATCTATTTCTGGGGACAAGCATAGGACCATCCAGTACCACAGATACTGATGTATCCCAATGCAGTTTATGACATAGTAAATAAAATATATGGTATAAAATACAGTAACAGGAATTTTAAAACTAAACTTAATCATTGTAATTGTTGAGCCTTTTAGGTGAGCTGGAAGGTCACCGCACAAGCTCGTTCATGGTGCAACAGGACTCAGGAGACAAAACCAAGCAGCTGCCAGCACATAGCAGCCCCTGAGCTCACTGCCAGAACACAGGCGCCCAGGAGCCACCCTTGAGGGTGCCACGCCTAACCGGCCTCGCCCTCATCCTCATCCTCTAGAAAAGCTCCGAAGTTAGTGACCATGTGTGAATCACTTCATGTTCAATGAATTCAAAGTGTTTCACTTTAATAGACTCGATATGTTCTTACTGTCATTTTGTACAAATATCTACCTATTTCCTAGTTATACTATTAGCAACACAGAATGGACTTTCTCCTACTGTCTAGCTAATTCTAGTTTCAGTGCAAAGGAAGAAAAGGAAGAAAATGGGCAACAGAGATGGTGTGACCCCAGCTTGCAACAGCAGGCTCACAAATGCAACACGTGTATGTGCCTCAACCAAGGAACACTACATTTATTTCTGGAAAAAACATCCTTGTCATCGTGTGCTACAGGTGTTTCACCATTTTCCCAGTTCCACAGGGACACATTTCTGTGAGACTCAGCCGCACAGTTTTGACTGCTCTGCCAGGCCCGACAGGGATGAGCACAGGAGCTGCGGTTTGCTGGGCTTCTTAAGTGTGTGCTGTGCATGTGTCTCTCATTTCCACACGACCCTGGGCGGAGGCATAACCGCACCCTTTTACAGACCAGAAAGGCCAGGAAGGTGAGGAGTCTGTCTGGAGCACACCTACCAGCAGCACAGTGGGGACATGAACACAGACTGCCTCATTCTCAAGCCTTTCTTTGGCAGTGGTAAGGATCAAACCAAAGGGTATGCTACCACTGAGACTTGTCGTGCTCCTGCCTCAGCATCCACGTAGCTGGGATTTTAGGCTTGAGTCCCTACACCTGGCACGAGCCCTTTCTTACCTCCTTCCTCTTAGTACTGGGGACTGAACCCCAGACCTCAAGCAAGTGGGGCAGGCCCTCTTCACTGAGCCACCTCCCCCACTCCCTCCAACTTTGTTGTTTAATTTCATTTTTTGTGCTGGGAATTGAACCTAGGTCTCAGAACATGCTAGGAACGTGCTGTACTACCAAGTTACAAACCCAGCCCAAAGTATTTTTACTAATGTTCAATCAACCTGAACTTTGAAACTCTTGATTTCTGCACTGTTCTCAGAGTCCTTAAAGAATTAGCCCATATAAAAATGAAATTTAAAAACAAATAATCATTACTAGGTACCATCACAGATATTCACATACTTATGCTGCATCAACCTCCAAATCTAAAAGAGTAAGTCTTCAAAGTATGGTATAAACCCCAAATTCATAGCAAAAACAGTCTTACATTGATATTTTCTAATTGTAGCCGGTGTACTGTATAATATGACTTCACATCTTCGGATAAGAGCTTCACTCTGAATCCTGTTTCTTTAAACACCATTTCCCGATCATCTGTTGGCCAGTACTGTGCACATTTAACCTAAATTTAAAAAGATTAGTTTAGATTATTACAAAACCATAGAAGTTGAAAAAGAAAACAAACCTCACACATACATGCTATACTTTTTAAAGTAGTCATAACTAAGAACAGTCACCACTACAGTTGAGTTATTTAGTAAGACTGACATTTTATAAAGAGGCTTTGTAAAATAAAATGTCCCTATACCTGTTAAACTAAAAAAGCCGTAACAGATACTGTGGTCACAAATAAAAAGAAGGGTGTTGTTTTTAAAGCTTTATGTCTTATAATTTTAACATCATATGATATTCACTTATGCTTCTGAAAGTATCAAATTCCTACAAGGATCTTAAAATAGTACTGAAAAGGTTTTATTTTAATTATTTTCCACAAATATTTCTATCAAATATCAACAAATCATATATTTACTTAACTAAATTTAAATTAGTAATTCAGGAGAAAGAATGAGAAGATTCAAAGCATTTTACTAGAGCTGTGTAAAGATTCAATATTGTTCATGGGAAATGTCATTTGACTCTGACAGTACTTTGCAATGTCAGAAAGAAATGATGTAATACATCTAAGTTGGGAAATGAAGTAATATACTTAATGTTGTTCAAAGAAAAGCAGATGTGAGCCAGGAATTTATACTCTGACATACTGACTTGTATGTATTAAAACACCAGGTAAACTGTCACTGACATATACAAAATCAGAGATTATAATGCTCACAAAGTCCTTTCTTAGAACCCACTAGAAAATGTTTCTCAACGACTAGAAAGACATGAACAGAGATTGTGATAAATATCAAATACATATAGTTGGCCCTCCCTATTTATGTGTTCTGCATCTGCAAATTTAACCAACCTTGGAAAAATTTTTGAGGAAAGCCAGGTATAGTGGTGCACACCTATAAACCTATTAATCTGGGAGGCTGAAGCAAGAAAAGTTTGAGCCCATCCTGGGCATTTTAGCAAAACCCTGTCTCAAAATAAAACATTTTTTAAAATGGGAGTGTAGCTTAGTGTGAAGGTTCTGGGTTCAATTCCCTACCTTTATATATAAATAATAAAAAAGAAAAGAGGGCCAGGAATTTGGCTCAGTGGTTCCACCGCCTGCTTCACAAGCACAGGGGCCCAAGTTCAATCCCTGGTACCAAAGAAAAAAGAAAAAAAAAAAAAGAAGAAAAGAAAAACAACTCCATCTGTACTGAACACATAAACTTTGTTCTTGTCATTATTCCCTAAAGAATATAATATGGGCTGGGAATGGTGGCGCACACCTGTAATCCCAGCACTCAGGAGGCTGAGGCAAGAGGATCACTTTGAGTTCAAGACCAGCCTGGGCTACATAGTGAGTTCCA